ATCTTGGTCTTCATCCGCATCACATTCAATGTCCTCTTGTCCAACACAGCGGGGAAAATATCTCCTGCTGTATCCAGGCCTGACAATGTCAGCCTGACATGATGCCTGGTCAACATCCCCACATGCTTCCTCCATTGCCTGTAAACGGGCTGAGCGATGATGAGGATGAAGGTCATAGACCTTCCACCGCCTGCAGGGAAGAAGCCTTCAGGCGGATAAAGAATGGAGAACGAGGCGGGGGGTTGAGGGGGTTGATCTGTCAACCAGTTACAGCTCAAAGCAGCACTACGGGAACTAAGATTGCACCATTTGATGACGTATCTGATCTCCTCTGTCTTCTTCACCTCCACCTTCTCTTATTTTTACTCTTCTTGCTCCCTCCATTGTACTCCCCACAGACAGCCCACCTGTGATGCATTTAAGGTGCTGAGGCTGATTGCAGAGTGAACTGATTATCTAGAATAGTTTTAACATGTGACAGTGTGCCAGACAGTTGGAAAAATAATGTAAATAATAACCTCAAATGTTATCATTTTGCTAGGAGAGAGTTGATCATTTGCAAATTCAGCATAAAGCAATAAGTTGTTAACAGTTCTGCAAAAATAGTTCTGTGCATTAGATTGAATCTACAGTTTTTAAAATGTGTGTCAGTTTGGCAAACTGAGTGCAAAGCAATATTTGTGCTTTCAGTTTTGTAAACTCAGTGATGGGTTTTGCTATAAGTATTAATAGTTTTAGATATTGTGCTGTAAAAATTACAGTTAGTGTTTAAGCATTCAGAAAAAAAAACTGTAAGCCTACTTAAATTTTTTGTTAATGTGCTAATTTACACGTTGAGCCTTAGGAAGCTTATATAGGATAAGCCTTTTAGATTTTTGTGGCTCCAGACAGATCTATTTTGAGTATATCTATATGGCTCTTTGAACATTTCTGGTTGCCTACCACTGACCTAAATTGTTAAAAGTCGACTTGCTAAACAGTCCAAGGAGCTGTTAGCACTTCTTTGTAAGAATGATAATAAAAAAAAAACATTTAAAAAAAATCTACAAAATGTGTTATTTTCAGCGAACATTTGGTTTCCATTATTAACGTGTTTCAACTTCAGCAACATGCTGTATAGTTTCTTTACTGCACCTATTAACTGCTAAAAAAATTTTAAATAATAACACAGAAATGTTAGAAATATAAACTAAACCTGCATTCAGTTGAATATTTAAAATTCACTCTATTATATAGTCCTTAGTTAGTTCAATAACTTAAGTTATTATTGTACGAAATTGGACTATTAATTAGTCAATCATGGTTATTTTTGTTTGTTTTTTTAGAATTAAAAGTTATCAGATTTAATTTAGCATAATAAAAATAAAAAAGCTAAAAAGCATTAAAACTAAAAATCAGATTTAATTCAGATAAAGTTTTGGTCTAATGTCCAATCTTATATATTAGCTGTAAAAAAACATCAATAATTTATCTTTATTATTATTATTTTTAGATTTAGACATTCAGAGTTTATCATCCAAATTCTATGTGTTCTCACAGTGCATCTCTGCTCTAATCCAGTTTAATTGAAACTTCCAATAACTAAATCATATAAAAGTACATTTTATGGTCTCCTCAGAACCAGAGCAAACGCAGAAACTAACATTTTATTATAGATCAATCATGTTGGGTTTATTTAGACTGGAACTGGAATGAAGCTGATTAGATTCGTTAGAGGCAAATAAAGTTGCTATAGTTTGAAAAACTGAAAGAGAGAATAAATAAATAAAATAAATAAATAAATGCAGTGTAAAAATGTTATTTTTTTCTTTTTTTTACCTATTTCCTGATATCCAGGGTAGGATATTGTAATCTTTGCTTGAAGCTTCTGGACTTTTTTATGTCTGCAGAAAGACAGAAGAGTCACGTTTTGGAAGCTTTTTATAGAGGAGAAGAAGACGTCAGCACGTGATCTGAATACTTTGGATTCTACACTGTAAAATAAATACATTTACTGTGTTGCAGCATCATTTTGAATCAGTTGACTTTTAACATAGAGCCTTGCAGAAGTATTCACACCTCTTTATGCAGATCTCAGTGGTTCAGGTCATGACACCCAGAAAAACAAGCCTTAATCAGAGGAAACCCGACTTCCGTTACGTTTTTATTTAAACCCATTAATTCAAAGCAAATTAAGGACCCACCCATCAATCTGTTGACTTATTTTCCTTCTATTGTTTGTTATTATTTTTGTTGTTGTTGTTTTTCTGAATAATTTTTTTACAGCAATCCCCTCCCCCCTTCAGCATTGGCTTTTGTCTTTTCACAAACATGGTTTCCTTTATCTCTCTTTCAAATCCTTTGTCCTCTCCTTCTGAAATCTGAATGTTAATGTCTTTATTTAGAATTTCTAGATCAATGCAAAGTAGAAATAATTGAGAAGGAAAAAGTTTAAAAATGTAAAAAACTTTGTGTTTAGAGGAAGCCATTGAGTCAATGTCCACCATTAGGAGTCAAAGTCTTTCCGTGTTTCTTTACAAAGCTTTCTTCCTTCTGGTCTTTTCAAAATTGGAAATGCTCCATGGAACTGGATATAAAAAGTACTGAAACATTAACTTTCAGAGCTCGCCAGGAGTTCTTATAAAGATTCAGACCAAGAAGTTTCTGGTAAAATAATTTGAATTGATTGAAACTGTTACAGTGCAGGTCTGACAGCATGTTTAATGTCATTATCCTCCTGGAGAATAAAAGCTCTGCGGCAGACTCTATGAGATTTTCTTCCATGTTGACCTGCTTCCCATTCTCTGCTTAAGAAAATCTTCCTCAAAGCATGATTCTGCCACCTCTGTGTTTTAGACTTTGAATTATACAACCTTTATTGTCATTTTGTACACACAGAGTGTATATAAAACAAAATTAAGTTTTGTGCAGCTTTCAGACAGTAAATGAGCAGCAATTAAATAATTTCCATTCATAAAGTGCAGCAGTGATCAAATTTAAACAGTGTGGGAGAAAAACGTGGTGCAGAAACGCATTGATATGGAAGTTCAGAGCAGCACAAAGACAAATATATATATGGTGCAAAATGCAATAGAAAAACATTTTTGAGTTTAGTTCTGTTTGGTTTGATGTGATGCAGAGTCTCCATTTGTGACTTGATTTAGAGTTTTTTTTTTTTTTTTAACAGTTCAGCAGTCTGATGGCAGTGGGGGAAAAGCTGTTACAGAACCTGCAGCAGATGCTGCAAAGCATGAGGACATTGTGTTCAGCCTGAGGTGCAGCGTTTGTTGCACATAGTATTTGACATACAGGTCCCAAAGAATCGAAGCATCTAATTCCACGTGTTTGGGATTAGAGTCCTGCATGAAGCTTCATTTTCTTCAACAATGCCTTCTGTGTTTCTCTGAGTGAGCTACCAACGTCCTGCACAGATACTTTGACAGCAACTGTAGATCTCTGCAGATCATCCAGAATTACCAAATATCCCTCATTTGCTTTTCTGATATATATTCATGTTAATTATATGTGATTCATTATATTATTACATAGTATTTGTAGATTGTATATATGTTACTTCCTCTCTAAACATAATGAACTAATGTGTGTTGGTCTTTAAATCTCAGTAAAACTAGGTCTGCGATTGAAAGAATATCAACATGGCACGTAGTCTCATTATTCCACAGAAAAAGTCAAAGTCATAATTTAAATATTATCTAAAGACTATTAATAACAGGAGGTGAAAAGCAGCTCCAGTCTAGCTTTGAAGGTGGTGATGTCATCAGTTCCGTTCCAGTTGATCCAGATTTATTCTGCGTAATCCCGTTTCCTGTGTTCAGGAAAGTCGGGGAGTCCGTACTCGTGATGTTGTGAATTGAGCTAACGGTCACCACAACTCTGAGAAGATTCTGGTTTCAACCGTTGCGTATATTAGCTGCTACATATGAATCAAGATGCTATGACCGAAAACATTTGATTGACAGATGACCTTTGATCTATGATTGGCTGAATTTAGGTGTTCAGGCTGACGTAGAACTAACTGGCCTGCAGAAGATAACGAAAAAAAACACAGATTTTAAGACAGGATTTTTTTCTTTTAATAAACATTTTCTAAATTTTGGGACAGTAGGGTATGATAAAGAGAACATTTATATACATGTTTAAGCCAGAATTATTTGATATTTAAATATGATTTCCATACGACTTTAAATGTTGTTTAAGACAGGCTGTTGGGGGGACGTTAAAGTAACCAAGTACATTTACTTCATTACTTATGCTTTAGTAACTCCACTAAATTTGAAGGAAGCTGCTATTTTCTTGTTACTTTTAAATGCCGTTTCCACATAGCAGACAGAAGCCGTTAGGACTGAATGTGGACGCCGCAGTTTTCCACAAATAGCAGAAACTCAGAGCAGATATTATTTATAGTTTATACTTTTAATTAGGGCGTTAGTTGTTGCCAAGTTGTTCAGTGGGATGAGTTTTAGGTTTGGTTTTGGTAATAGATTAAACCTTTAACTAAAAACAATCCTGTTTTTTTTTTTGCTTCGTTTATAAACAGGAATTAATAATTAAAATAGAAATCCTTCAGTTTTTTGTGGCATTTTGATGCTGAAGTTTTTTCCAGGTGGTGTAGAATTTATAGCAGATTTGCTCCAGGCATCAATCAGAGGTTTCTGAAGGTTAGTTTAAAATTACACTGAAATTTAATGAAATAAAAAGTTTTTACTGGTATTTTTGAATACTCAACTACTTTTAAATTCATGCACTTTTGAACACTTTATTACTTTCAAAATCTAGTACTTCAGTACTTTAACTTGAGCAGACGTTTGTCAGAGTAACTTGAGTAATATTGACTAGGAGTATAAATACTTTTACTCAGGTACTGCTGTTGATTACTTCCTCCAGCGCTGCCAGGAACAGACTCACTATAACCAACTGAATGAGAAGTTCAGTTCTGATAAAGGAAATCTTTACCTTTCTGTGAAACAGCTTCATCGTTTTTCCCCACACCTCGCTCTTTGTGCCGCCTTGTTTTCTCCAGTACTTAGATGTGCAAAAACAACTGTGGAAAAAACAGACAAAAGAAAAATGTTCATATATACCAAGCTTATGAGTTAAAATGCATTTTCCTCTTTCAAAACATTAGGACCAGTGAGTTCTAGCAAAAAGCAAAGTTGAATATTTGGATTGATGAGGTCTGCAGGTCAAGCTGTAGAAATTAACCATCGATTTCTCCAAATGTTCTGCATTCAAACTGCAGAGAAACTTATTCATATAGACGACAAAGTAGAGTTTTAAACACACAGGATTGTTGAAATAACCTTAAAAAAGTCTAACTTCTTGTGAAAACGTCCAAGCCAGTAAATACAAACCAGCACTCATAATTAATATTGGAAGGGATGAGGAAGGAAATGTTTTTTCTGACCACAAAATGCTATTTGAATAATTTTCTTAAATTCTGTTTAATTAGATGCCTTCCATTTTTATTTAGTTTAGAGTATTTTCTTTGATTAGATCAGTCAGTGAGACCAGCTGGAGGTCACAGCAGTCGCTGCTCTATCAGCCATCCACCTGTCAGTGCCTCTAATGTATCTCCATGCAAATGAAAACCTTCCTACATTCCTCCTCCACAAATAGCTCACATGTCTGTCAGAGCCGAGGTTTCTTTCAACATGTTGTTTCTCTTTAGCTTTTCATCACCTCCTTTACCTCTCTGTGTTAGTTTACATGCAGTAGTGGAATCCTTCTAAACAGTTTTACAGTGCTTTAATGTTTAATAAGGAAACTTTAAGATGTAGCTGAGCAGCCTGTGAAACGCAGAGAGGCTTGGCTTTTTATAGATGATAATGTAAAGGCGTGTTGGACATTCCCTGGAAAGGTTTCTCCTCTTTCTGACTTCTAGAAATGGATCTCCAGGCGCGGGCCGCCCAGCTCCTGCCCAGCTCCCTCAGAGGGAACGTAAATCAGACTCCCGACAACACAAAGCAGTTTTTTCCTCACTTTAGATCCTCCGACGCTTACGAGACACCATGCAGTGCCTGGAACTCAGTGTCACTCTGTTCACAGCGTGATGAGCAGGCCAGGCTGCACTTAGACGTCTGTCAACACTGAAACCTGCACATTTACAAGACAGCAACACTCAGAGTTGTTGTTTTTCCCAACAGGTGGCGTTCTGCAGGCAGTTAAGTCTGGTTACTGTAGGTCAGTGGTTCCCAACCTTCTGATGACCTCCGTTCGTTTTGTCTCACCATGAGCTCTCAGTCAAAAGTACTGATGATTGTACAAAAGTGGAACGATAAAAATAAAAAGCATTTTACTTAATCTTTTAATTTGAAAATGTAAATTTTAGGTATTTTATTCTTTCCATCTCAAATAAAAAAACAAACAAACAAATAGTGTTGGAATTCAATGTTATTTCTGACATTTTGAATTGAAAAATCTTCCTGGATGGAAGAGAAACATCTTCAAACTTGGAAACAAAGTCCAGTGGATTGTTTTTTATTTTCTTTTTTTTAATTCCCCTGAGTGTAATTACATTTAAACTTGGTGAATTAGGAACATAAATTCTAGTCAGACTGTCTTAATTAGTTTTCTTTTGTTTTCATCCTATAGATGAGCTCCTAAAGCTCAGAGTGAAAACCAGCTGATCCCAGTCTGTTCTCTACATCAAGGCTGCTTGGTTTGGATGTCAAAGCTGAAGGAACTCAAACTTATAATTATAACTTACATTTTGGTTGATAAAAGCTTTTAATTTTTCAAATTGGGTCCTCGGAAAGCAGAACAGATCAGATCCCTATTTCATTTTACTACCAAAGAAATAAAATATTTACATGTACCTCTTGCAATGCAGTGGAGAACCACTAGGGGTTCACGTACCCCGGTTGTAAACGCTGGTCTAGAGGAGCTGCAGAGATCCACAGCTTAGAATGAACTATGCTGATCCTCCACAAGAAGAACAGATGCATTCAGAAAGCTTTTATTAAAATGTTTTGTTTTTTTAAGGGCAGTTTGAAGTTTGCTTTAAAACACAAATTGAAAAAGGTTCTTATCAGATCAGAAAGTGGAACATTTTGGCTTCAAACTGATTAAGCGTATCAGACTGATAATAATAATATAGTTCTGGGTCCCATATCCTGAAAAATGGAGAAAATATCTGAGAATTAAAACCTGCTTAAATGTACAGGCAGGGAAATAAAGTCTAGATCAAATAATTTCCTTGTGCTAAGATGGTCCAGTCAAAGTCTGCTTGATTAAGAATATTTGGCACTACTGGAAATGTGTTCTCACACTTTCTCTCCATTTTAATCAAGCTTTTGCTGGTCTGCAAAGAAGAGTGGACAAAATTTAACTCCACATGATTAAAGTTGGTCTAAAATTACCTGCAGAAGTCTTAATGCTCTTATTGGAACAAAAGGGTTTCAATAAAGAACTGAACTTTCAGCACTTTTCAAATATGTATCTTTCTAAAACATTTTCCTTTCACATTGAAATGCAGCCCCACTTCCTGTGTTGATCTCTGACATAAAATCTCAAAACAATAAGCTGAAGTTGGAAAGTCTGATGCTACGCTCAGAGCGCACGCAGCAGAAACAGCAAAAACGCGCGTTCTGCTTCATTTCTGATTATTGCACCAGTTTAGTTCTGAAGCGTCTTTGCTGCTCTAGCTGCGCGCAGGTTAAATGGGTCTGATGCGCGGTGGGCGGAGCGACACTATCCTTTCATTGCCTGGAACATTGGCAATGAAAGGAAGTAGATGTTAGCGTTTTTCAGGTCTGTGCTACAAACTGCAGGCAGCAGGATAATAAAAGCCAACATATTCTGCCGGCAGGTTTCTACATTTGAAGTTAATTTAGGCGTTAATAAACTGTTTCAGAGGAGTGATCATAGCGCTCTGCATCAGCAGTGCTGCGTCTGACTCCCTGCCAGCTCCCAGATCAGCTGCTCTCATTGGTTGATCAATGAAGCGCCTCAGAAGCTCATGAGGCGCCGCTGCTCCTGCTGCCCTAGATGCTGCAGGACCTTTAGCTGCACCTTGATGCATCAACCATTGACTTTGCATGGAAACCAGCTGCTTCTGCTGCCTAACCCTAACCCTGTTTGCTGCATTTAACAACATGCTGTTTTCTGTTTTATCATATTTTTAAACTACCTGCATCTATTGGTAAAAGTATTTATTTCATTGTATTTAACAGTTTTCCATGAAAATGACGTATCTGCTTGTACATATAGTAATAACTGACATACTTCTTAATTGGTTTGTTCAGTTTATAAAGTTTATAGTTTATTAATGAGACATAAAGGATTTATTTTATCGGACTGAAAATACAGCAGATATTTCATTACAGAATCTGTTTATTTTTCCTTTTCTTCCTCAGACTTCACTTCTTGATTTTGGGGGTTTTGAAGAGAAAGTTGGTGATGTTTTTTTATTTATTTATTTGCAGTTTAAATAAAAGACTTGTTTGTATTTGCAAATATTATTTTTTTGAATTCATAAAATACTGAAGTTATATCAATGTGAGGCAGAGTATGAAGGGGTGAAAGTTCATTGTATAGTCTTGTTCTGTAATAAAATTGATCTAAGCAATGTTCTTTTATAAGAAAATCAGATTTAATAATGGAAGGTAAATTAAACCTGCTGTTATTAAAAAAAATAGTTTGAAGCCTGAAGATGGTCTGGAAACTCCTTGACTTCATCCTGTATCAGTCTATTAATCCCTGTTTTAGCCAACAGGCCATCTGATATGGCTAAAATTAAGGTGTTTGACTTTCCAGTAATCAGATCAACGCGGCTGTGACGCATCAAAGAACAGTTTTACCCAACAGCTGTACGCTTAAGCCGAGGCTAACTAGAGTCTGAGCTCTGAAAGCTGATCGGGCTTCACAGCTCCAACAATCAGCACCGCGCCTGCTAAGCACACAGATGCTCTCAGTGCTACATTTCCCTGTAGTTAGCGGCCTCTGAAAGATTGAGAAGGATTTTAGCGCAGTTTCTTATTGCTTAGTGTAAATTACTGGGGATCAGACCTTGTTTTGCTTTCTTAATGCTCCTATGATCTCTGATCCTGGTTGCCCTCCACGGTTACATTACTGGTTATTTCCCAGTCATTGAACTCTGCGAAAAGAGGAATGAAATATCACAAAATCAAAGGAATCTTTTATTAATGAATCTTAATCTCTTACTAAAAATAAAACCTTTCATTTCCGCAATAGGAGGGCAAAAAAAAAAATCCCTTTAAAAAAAAAAGGTTACTGCTTTTTTTGAAATGTGCTTTTTTATTTGTAACTGAAAGAATTTTTGTAATATTTACTTTAATTTTTCTACATTCCTCTGAGTGAACAGGAGTGAACACTAAATTCTTTGATCTCTATTTTCCTGGGATATAAATATAATCAAAGAAAAAAAAATAATTTCTTTTATGCACTCTTTAAAATTGAAAAAACAAGTTCAGATGTTATTGGAGTAGGAAAACAAAATCTTAGAAAAGAACATTTCAAAAGGTAACAGTTCTAGACCAGAAGCACAGAATATGGCCTCTTAGGATCATTAAGTCTCCATAACAACCTTTCAAGAAATATTTAAGGTCCTGCCAGAAACAAGCACTTTCTGATCTGCTGTACCACCAAAAAATAAAAAAAAAACGAATCATTTCTGGATTCTTCTCCTAAACACCAAACCTCCAGACCTAATATAAGCAGAGTGTCTGCAGCTCAATGCAGGGAGGAATGCTCTGATCTTTATATCGGATAAACCAAGCAACCTCTCCACAGACGCATGGCCCAACACAGACGAGCGCCCTCCTCTGGACAAGACTCTGCGCTACATCTACACCTGATGGACAAAGGACATTCTTTGGAGGACCAGAATGTTCACATTCTGGATAAAGAAGACAGGTGGTTTAAGAGGAAGGAAGCATTTTTAAGGGGGGGGCTCAGATTTCAGCTTTCAAAAACCTCCATATGTGGCAATAGTTGCCGCCACTCATTCATTTTGGTTAAGAGTAGTTTACAGGTTTTACAGAATCAAAGTCTGACCAAATTTTGCTGACATGTATCAAATTTATTTTCTGAAGATCCAATCTGACTCAGATATATCTGTAAACAGGTCATTTCACTACTTTTATAAGAAAATCTCATTAAGTAGACCCTATGATGCTTTGTTGATGTATTGCCTGGGAGCCAAGCTGACGGCATTACCTGGTGTCCCGAGCCCGTGACATCATCAATGACCCCTCACCCCCCCACCATGGACTGTTCTCCCTGCTGCCCTCTGAGAAGAGGCTTCCCAGCATTCAATGCAGGACCAGCAGGTTCTGCAGCAGCTTCTACCCCACCGCCATCACACTGATGAACTGTTGTTTAAAATGGGGTTAAAAAAATGTTGCGCTGAATGTTGGAAAAACTGTAAATCATTTCTCAGTCTTATATTTACGTTTGATCACTGCTGTACTTTAGAAATGGAAATGTCTAGAGGGCTGTATTGTAAATTTAATTTTGTATTACTTGGTGCGTACAAAATGACAACAAAACCTTGTTTTTGTTTAGAAAACATGCAAATAGAAACGGATAAACGGGTCCACCCCCTTGGAATGGGGGTCGTTTGACTTCTTATGTTAGCCTGGGGAGGGGGAGACTCAGGTTTCAGCTTTCAAAAACCTCCAATGCAGCGATAAAGTTGATTCCTTCCCGCTATCATCGCAGCTCCAACCCCTTTACAGGAGAACAGAAGACCTCACCTGTTCATCCAGGCCAACTATTCCCTTTCAGAGACACTGACAGGTATGGGGCATTGCAGGCTAACAAAGAAGCCAAACCACCCCCATTCCAAAGGGGGGGACCCGTTCATCCGTTTCTATTTGCATGTTTTCTAAACTAAAACCAGGCTTTGTTGGGCTGCTGGATAAAACCTGGAACTAAACGCTATTTCTGACATTTGGAATTGAAAAATCTTCCTGGATGGAAGAGAAACGTCTTCAAACCTGGAAACAAAGTCCAGTGGATGGGTTATAATTTTCTCTTTTTGGCATTTCTGGATTCTACTCTGTGTTCATTATGTTGGCGTGCTGGTTAAGATTCTCAGTCCTCCAGGTCATAGTCGTTCCAAAAAACTTAAAATCAATCTACCGGACTTTGTTTCCAAGTTTGAAGACGTTCCTCTTCCATCCAGGAAGATTTTTCAATTCAAAGTGTTAAATTAAAGTGGAGGACTGATGTTTCTATTGGAGCCTGCCAGGATGATTCTGAAAGCTTTTTACAAAAATATCAGAGTAGATGTGAGCTTACAGCCCAGGAAACAACCACCACAACAACATGGAGAGCTACAGAACGGTCTGAGTCAACCAGGAGGAATACGAATGCAAGGAGGAAGAGCTGAGAACAGGTGAGAACAGGTGAGAACAGGTGAGTCTGAATGACTTAATGTGGAAAAACTGTGGAGGATCACAAGCAGAAGGAGCTAAAATAGATGGAAATCACTGAGCAGTAAAAAGCAAAACATGAAATCCCCAAAAAATCAAAAAACAAGATAGAAACCATTAAATTACAGAACAATATAAACTAAAAGTCATCATTAAAAACATCATTAAAAGAGAAATGAAAACATGTCCTTAAGTCAGATCAGCCTAAAATAGTTTTTGTTTTTTACCGTCACACTTTTCAGGAAACAAATTTTGAATGTTTAGAAAAACACCTCATGCCTGCTGTTATGCATGGTGGAGGAGCTGTAATGCTGTGGACTTGTTGCTATGCTAGAAAGACAAAGCAAACAAACAAATAAATAAACGAATAAATAAATAAATAAAAGAAATTGTCAAGAAAGAATAAATAAAAGAATAAATGATGAACAGTTTAGTTTGTGCCTTCAAGTCGTTGCCCATAGGAAGACGTTACCTGGATATAACCTAACGGAATATCTTCAGAACGGCTCCAAATGACACTAAACTCAGATGGGAGAGTAGAACATGATGGAATAACGGAAAATCAAGGACCAATGGAAAAAAAAAAACGGCGTTCCCCTTTAAGGTTTTGATGCAACTTGATGATAACTTTTGAAACGTTTTGCTTCTTTAACAAAGTTAGAAATTGATGATAATAACTTGACCACAAACCATTGGAGTATGATGCAACAAGTTTGAAAACCATGTAATACTTATTCATTGAGGTCAATAAAGTTATTCAGCCAGTAATTTATTTGTTAAGAATTAGCTTAGCTTCCTGATAGTTTTAACAGACTTTAGATTGTAAATGAAGGGATTCCTTTAGCAGGTTTGGTTGGTGAATCCAGGTCCTTAAGATGGATATTTATCAACTGGAAAAGCTTTACAGTATTATTGATTTCATTTTTCACTCTGAATTTAGTTTAAAGCCAAAATAAAATCTGATATTTTACATGACATTTTAGTGACAGCCTTAAAAAAGGATTCCTTATTCAGAAAATACATTTTCTTACTCACTTTCCTCTCTTAGAGATCTGTTCCGGTCAGCTTCTTCTCTCCTGTTTGTCTGATTGAAATATTCTTCCTCATGTTGTGTAGCTTCCTCCTCCTCGTCCTCCTTCACCACCCAGGAGCCGCGCAGTCGCTTGTTGCCACACTCTGCTAGCTGCCAAACAAGGAGACACGGATACGGCGCAGGGGTTGATGCAATAAAGATCAGGCCGCCTACAGAAAACCAAGCCATGAACATTCCTGTGTCCTTGGAAGCAGTAAAACCTTCCGCCAAGTGCAGTGAAAAGAGAGATGCTCCTGCCTTGACCTCCGGCCTGGGTCTACATGGGCTCCTCTTTCAGGCAGCAGGAGGAAACACGGTGTACTGACGCTTATCCAGAACTCCTGCTGTAAAATAAACAGCCACATAGTGAAAAAAAGAAAACCTATATTTTTTAAATGCAAGTTATTGAATGTGACTTGAAAGCAGAGAGTCCATGACTTTGGCCAAAGCTTTGGTTTTACCTTCTAGAAGCTTCTCTGGAATTTTCCTTTCTTCTAGAAATAAACGATGCAACTAATGGAAGTCCTTTTACTCACATTCTCCTTTCCAGCTTTGTCAAAAAAAAAATTATGAAAAGGGACTCAGATTAGAGTAACTGTCATTTTTAAGACCCGCTGAGCCTAAGCTCTGACTTTCTGTCTCAGCTTGATTCAGTATTAGCTCATAATATTTCTTTAAGTTGTCTTTGAAGAACTCTTCTTTTAGGCAAAGATCTGCTCTCCAATGCTCAGACGACTTCTGACTTTTCTGTGCTGCCAGGACCTGAATCACCTGACAAACTCGCCTCCAAGCTTTTCAGCAAACAGTGAGATCTTCACTGCTTCATGTCATTCAGGTTGAATCTGTCACTCCTTCTTTTGCAGACATCGTTCAGATTGTCTCCTCATTTCTGTATGATGGTGAGGATTCTCAGTCATCCAGGTCATAGTCATTCCAAAAAAGCTAAAAAACATGCAAATAGAAACGGATGAACGGGTCCACCCCTTTGGAATGGGGATCGTTAAAGGACACCCCCCTTTCAGAGACATAGACAGGTATGGGGCATTGCAGGCTAACAAAGAAGCCAAACGACCCCCATTCCAAAGGGGGGGACCCGTTCATCCGTTTCTATCTGCATGTTTTCTAAACTAAAACCAGGCTTTGTTGGGCCGCTGGATAAAACCTGGAACTAAACGCTATTTCTGACATTTAGAATGAAAAAGCTTCCTGGATGGAAGAGAAACGTCTTCAGACTTGGAAACAAAGTCCAGAGGATTGATTTTTAATTTTTTTGGAACTCGTTTCTGTAGAGTTGTAGTGTTAGTATAATAAGACATGTTTCTTAACTTCTACAAGGACTATATTTGTTTTTGTTTTTTTTTAGTTAAAATGTTTTCCCAGAAGCTATTCAGATCATTATCATATTGTTTTGGAGTAAACTGAGACAGATCGTTTTTTTTTTTTTTGACTTTCCATTTATCTATTGTGATGATCAGCTGCTGCTAAATGCTCCTAAAAAATAAAAGTTCTCACTCATCTCCTTCTTCCCGTCCCCAACTTTCACAGCCAAAAGGAACAGACCCTGTAATCCGATCTGAATGTTTCATGATGAGTCATAGATTAACGTCGCCACTCATTAAACTCCATACTGCTGACTTTTAAAGGTCTATCTTTGTACTAGAAAACATTCTAATAAACTATCTTTAGTTTTACAAGCAGTAACCAATCTAAAACCAACAGCACTAAATATACGACCTTAAAAGCGGGGCTGAATGTCAACACGTAGTCGTGGCATAGAGACAGAAAATCAGCAAAAAACTAAGCTCTGTCGGTAACTTTGACTTTCCTCGAGTTACCAAAGTTTAGGCGTCATCGAGCGCCCGCCGTTTACGAGGTGGCAGAAACCGTTTAATACTCTTAGACAGAAGTCTGTGTGCAGCTTATTGGACTAAAGTCAACATCGCAGCTGTTGTTTGTGAAAAGTGGCTAATTCTAACTTCTTCTTAATCATACAACACCAGGAATATTTGGAGCTTTAACTTAGAGTCAAACATGCTTAAAGCAAATGAACATGTGCATTTCAGTAAACAAGAATATATCTGAAAAGTTTATTTTATTAGCTCAAGTCAAAATGTGTCAACAATGGGTGGTGAGGTTGCTTGAGGACCCGGATGCAGAGACGAGTGAAGCACAGATGAGTTCTGACAGATTTAATTGAAGAACACAGGAAACAGAGGCAGCAATCCAGAAATTCAAATTAAAATGTTAAACAAACCAAAAACCATGGAGACATCAGGGGAAAACGAGCCTGAGGAGCCAGAGAGAGACGAGGTGAGAAGACAACGACAGCGACGACAAGGAAGCAGTGACTGCAGAGGTGGAGTATATAAGGGGAACAGAACAAAGGATGGACTGATGAGCTGAATATGGAGCAGATGTGGGTGGAACTGGCAAGAAGGAATCCAAGGGGAAATAAAACAAGCACCACCAGGGGGCAGCAGAGAGTCACTAAAGAATGCTTGAATATAATGGAAAATAAATTAAAGAACTTAACAGAACAACTGATAACAGAAAACTGAAAACCATGATAAAATGTGAAACTTATATATATATTAAAGAACATAATTTTGGTAAGTCTAAAGGTTTTAAGCCTGGGAAACCAATAAAATGATTTTACAGCTGTGAATAAATTTAAGTTAATCACTGATTAGTTAAACAGGTACTTTTCTGGTCAGTTAAACTATGATCCAGTTGAATCCATTTCAATTAATTAGAAAAAAACAAAAAACAAAAAAGAAAATCCACTGGACTTTGTTTCCAGTTTGAAGACGTTTCTCTTCCATCCAGGAAGATTTTTCAGTTCAAAATGTCAGAAATAGCGTTTAGTTCCAGGTTTTATCCAGCGCCCCAACAAAGCCTGGTTTTGGTTTAGAAAACATGCAAATACAAACGGATGAACGGGTCCCCCCCCTGTGGAATGGGGGTCGTTTGGCTTCTTTGTTAGCCTGCAATGCCCCATACCTGTCTATGACTCTGAAAGGGGGGTGTTAGAGGGAATAGGTGGTCTGGCTGAATAGGAAAGGTCTTCTGTTCTCCTGTAGAGGGGTTGGAGCTGCGATGATTGCGGGAAGGAATCAACTCTATTGCTGCATTGAAGGTTTTTGAAAGCCCCCCCTATGTTTAAGGTTACAGGCTAACAAAAGAAGTCAAACGACCCCCATTCCAAGGGGGTAGACCCGTTTATCCGTTTCTATTTGCATGTTTTCTAAACAAAAACAAGGTTTTGTTGTCATTTTGTACGCACCGAGTAAATACAAAATTAAATTTACAGTACAGCCCTCTAGACATTTCCATTTCTAAAGTACAGCAGTGATCAAACGTAAACATAAGATTGAGATATGATTTACAGTTTTTGCAACATTCAAAGATTTTATTTTACCCCATTTTAAACGTCAGTTCATCAGTGTGGAAGGTGGGGAAGAAGCTGCTGCAGAACCTGCTTTTCTTATAAAAGTAGTGAAATGACCTGTTTACAGATATATCTGAGTCAGATTGGATCGTCAGAAAATAAATGTGATAAATTTCAGCAAAGTTTGGTCAGACTTTGATTCTGTAAAACCTGTAAACTACTCTTAACCAAAATGAATGAGTGGCGGCAACTATTGCCACATATGGGAAACAATACAGAGGACCATTCAGGTGAAATGCACTTTGTTGGTGGGAGTATGCATTTATTTCCATGAGTATTGACATATGGAAGCTTTCAGCTAGGATTAGAAATGACTCAATCAGACACAGCAGCTGGCACACAGACTGCCAATATGCATGGGAGCATAAAATAAGGAGGACTGAATATTGAACTAACAACCTCTCTCCTTTGACACTTTGAATATTGTTGACATTTCAATCTGTAAAACTCTTTGTCTTTAGCAATCATGCATCTTTTTAAAGATTAACCTCTGATAATACACAACGCCGAACTCCGTTTGTATGGAACTCCAGCAGAGCTTCCATTTAACACAAAATGTAGAAAAAGGTTTGAAAACCTGAAATGTGCCTCATCTGCTCCTCCACTTCCTGATCTATTGCCAAAAACCTGACATGATTAGTAAAATAAGCACAAACCTTTGCTCCATAAATCACTGATGAATTGAACCATTAAGCCTAATAAAAAGCCTCTCTCTGTCTTCATCATGTTCCACAACTCATTAAATATTGAAGCAAACAAACCAGTGGTTGAATAAATAACCATCTCAGCATAAATAACTTATGTGGATCCATTTGATAAATATATGTTATCTTTAAATTAAATAAAATACATTATGTGGTATGACTTCAAGGCTTAAAGAGAGTTTTTAAAATTTACACGAGCTTGTTGCATTTTTGAGCTATGTTTAATTAATAACATTATAAATAGTTTGGTTTCTGACTATAAGTAAGAACGGTGCCTTTCCTTTATCCTTTTGTCCCATTAGAACTATTGTTGCACCGATGCCCGATACCTGGCTGCGAAGTATCGGCCGATACCATCTGTTTGAAATTGATGTGTGTGTATAAATGAAGAACTGCATGAAAATAACTAAAACAAAGTGAATCCAGTAGAACTTTTTATTGCCTACCTGGAATGGGTGACAATAGTTGAAGAAACCTTTGTCTCTCAAAATGGTATCGGTTCCTTCAATTACAGCTGACATAATTCTGCACTTTTTGGATCTGTTTAAGTTTTCTTGGTGGGTTTTCAGTTACAGTTTAATTCATGTCTTTCTGTGTTTTCTAGTTTATTGGTTTCATTTCCATTTTGTGTCATTCTAGTTGTTTTCTGGTTGTAAAAGAGTTCTGATGTATTTCTTGTTTACTCTCTGCTGCCCCCTTGTGTCCGTCTCAGCTCCCTTCTAGATCATTCTGTCTACATCTGCTCCCAATCAGTTGATTACTCCATTCTTTGTTCAGTGCTGGATTCTCTTCAGTCCTTCCTTTATCCTTGTGTTCCCCTTCATTCTGGGTCCTGCGTTTCTTGTTCAGTTATTTTTGGATTTATGCTTCTGTTTCCTCCACCAAGATACTGTATCTGCGCTTGAATCCTCTAAAAACATCCACACAATGAGACAACAGCCTAAAGTCTTGTGGGATTTTTCCTCTACCAGGTTTATACAGTTAAAGGCTTTAACCATGATACTTTGTAAAATCCTTCAGGTTCACTCTGACTGGATGGAAAACATTTGCATGCATCCACTTTCAAGTCTCGGTACATGTTCAGAGTTTGATTTAGGCCTGAAGTTTAACTAAAGGGTCTTCCAGCATGGTCTTAAAGACTGGCATCCCCACAGCAGGATGCTGTTAACGTCATGTTACAACGTTATGATTTTAGATTATTGTACGTGCTTCTTTTGTTCTTAGCTAATCTTAGCATCTTCATCCACATATATGACTTGTAGCATTCTAATAATGGGACATCAATGGCCTTATTTCAACAATTGCTTTTTTCTTGCCAGATTTCACATGTATGGAGTATAATAGTTGATACGCGCCTTTGTGTCAAATTGTTAGAACCCATCGTTTGATGGTAGAGTAACTATCACAGAAATAATTTGAATCAGACAAAAGTTGAAGATTGTATGAAAATATACAAATCAAATTCAGATATTCCTTTGAACATTTTTTTTCTTTTTTCTTTTTTTTGACAGAATGATTTAATTAACCCAACATTTTTGTCTACATGTATGGGTCTTTAGATTCCACCACATGTAGTGGAGATCTCTGCAGCATCTCCAAAGTTACCTTCCCAGCACTGATTTATTCAGTTATTTAATTGAATATATTCTTCATACTATAAGTGGTTGAAATGCAAAAGAATCAGTGAAATATACACGCACCGACCACTTCATTAGGTACACCTGTCCAACTGCTCGTTAACACTTAATTTCTAAGCAGCCAATCACATGGCGGCAACTCAGTGCATTTAGGCATGTAGACATGGTCAAGACAATCTCCTGCAGTTCAAAGCGAGCATCAGTATGGGAAAGAAAGGTGATTTGAGTGACTTTGAACGTGGCATGATTGTTGGTGCCAGAAGGGCTGGTCTGAGGATTTCAGAAACTGCTGATCTACTGGGATTTTCACGCACAACCATCTCTAGGGTTTACAGAGAATGGTCCGAAAAAGAAAAAACATCCAGTGAGCGGCAGTTCTGTGGGCGGAAATGCCTTGTTGATGCCAGAGGTCAGAGGAGAATGGCCAGACTGGTTGGAGCTGATAGAAGGGCAACAGTGACTCAAATAACCACCCGTTACAACCAAGGTGAGCAGAAGAGCATCTCTGAACGCACAGTACGTCGAACTTTGAGGCAGATGGGCTACAGCAGCAGAAGACCACACCGGGTGCCACTCCTTTCTGCTAAGAACAGGAAACTGAGGCTACAATTTGCACAAGCTCATCGAAATTGGACAATAGAAGATTGGAAAAACGTTGCTGGTCTGATGAGTCTCGATTTCTGCTGCGACATTCGGATGGTAGGGTCAGAATTTGGCGTCTACAACATGAAAGCATGGATCCATCCTGCCTTGTATCAACGGTTCAGGCTGGTGGTGGTGGTGTCATGGTGTGGGGAATATTTTCTTGGCACTCTTTGGGCCCCTTGGTACCAATTAGGCATCGTTGCAACGCCACAGCCTACCTGAGTATTGTTGCTGACCATGTCCATCCCTTTATGACCACAATGTACCCAACTTCTGATGGCTACTTTCAGCAGGATAATGCGCCATGTCATAAAGCTGGAATCATCTTCTCAGACTGGTTTCTTGAACATGACAATGAGTTCACTGTACTCAAATGGCCTCCACAGTCACCAGATCTCAATCCAATAGAGCATCTTTGGGATGTGGTGGAACGGGAGATTAGCATCATGGATGTGCAGCCGACAAATCTGCGGCAACTGTGTGATGCCATCATGTCAATATGGACCAAACTCCCTGAGGAATGCTTCCAGCACCTTGTTGAATCTATGCCACCATTAATTGAGGCAGTTCTGAAGGCAAAAGGGGGTCCAACCCGTTACTAGCATGGGGTACCTAATAAAGTGGCCGGTGAGTGAAGAGGTATCTTCTCATGCTTCTCAAACTGGTTTTTAATATAATACAATGTAACTTAGTTTCACGACTTTCCTCTATGAATATGTAAAGAAATGCATCCAACTTACAGCAAATTTAATACTTTTTAAAATTCAACAGTATTAAATCCAGTTTCCTGGACGGAGTTGCCTTTTACAGTTGCCTTTTGTATCTATGCTTCTTTTTCTATGTCTGCTTCTGTCTCCTTGAACCCCAGTGGGCCTCAGCAGATGGCCGCTCACACTGAGGCTGGTTCTGCTGGAGGTTTCTTCCTGTTCAAAGGGAGTTTTTCCTCTCCACTGTCGCTACAAGCATGCTTAGTGTGAGGGATTGCTGAAGAGTCAATGAGTCGATGCAATCAGCTGGTTTTCCTTATATAGAAAACTTTGAATCAATCTGACTGGATGATCTGGTGAACTGGAAAGTGACCTGAGATGACATGATGTGAATTGGAGCTATAGAAATAAACTGAATAGAATTGAAAGGATGAAGAGGCTCCACATCATGTTGCTGCAAAGTTTAGCCCTGAAATATTTTTTTCAGATTTAATTTCTAAACTGAAAAGCCGCTGATATACAACTTTTTTTCTTTTTTTTTTACTGTACCATGAATTGTAGTTTGAGCCAAAGGAGCTTATTGAATTGGACTGTCTGATGGTTCATACATTAATTGTGTTCAAAAGTTGACCTGACTGAGCTGCCTCTGGCTCTTATGTCCACATGAATGATGGTGACAGTGAGAGCATGTGCGCGAAGCAGGCGGCCATACTTCAGCTGCAGTAGAATTTCAGCCAGATCATCCCCCCCTCCCTCCATCAGCTGTGATTACTTTAGTAAAACAGTTCTGCGTCGCAGAGAACCAATTTTGCTAATGCACAGCCTCCACGCACACGCCCAGCATGGTTATTGATGAGGTAAATGGGGAGGGGGGCAACAAGGGGCACATATACTGCTGGGAAATTGAGAGAAAGAGAGAAGGGGATGGAGGGAGTGAGACAGAAGTTGGATGTGGACAAAGACAGGGACAGAGACAGAAGAAGAGAGAAGGGATGAAGTGAAGGAAGGACGGAAAGAGGGCGGAAGGGGCTCGAACAAAAAATGGACATCAGGCATGAAAGCTGTGCTCTGAAACGATTACGGGACGTCCAGTTAAAGAGGCAATAAAGACGAAGACACAGAGAGAGACAAGCGAGGAGAGAGGATGCAGCACAGAATACTAACATGGCGTCTTTCCAGTGTGGAGGATGAACTATCCTAAATCTTCAAACACAGGGTTAGACGGGAAAGAAATATGTATAAAGAAACAGAAGTAAGAAGTTCAGATGATGTCTTTAGCTTCTGTTCTCTGGTGTCGACGGCTAACGGGAGATATTAAGCAGGAAAGACAGGGTGCGGGTCAGAAGACGCTCCAACGATGGGAAGCCAAGTAAAAAAATCAAATTCCTGCCACTTTGGTTGGATCTAGGATGGTTTGGATGCAATTTCTACAAAGGTGTCTTCTTGACAATCATAGCTTTGGAGAGAAAAGGAAGACTGTTGGTCTGTGTTGACTTTGGGACCAAATGAAAACATCTGGAAGGACAACCAACCATTTCAGCCTTCTGGTGTGCCGCTTACGGAGCAGCACCACATTTCATCATTTCTACAGTTTCTGTCAGGATTTGTTATGAATCCATTTGAATGGTCGTCAGTTTGAACAGATGATTATGGACGAGGACAATGGCAGTTATGAAAACAGAGGGAGATTATATTTACTCTACAAGCTCTGTAGAGTTGTGCATCCGTACAACTCCGTCTACAGAAATAGAATAGGGCAACAGCAATGATTATTATCCAATGTTTTCCACATCTGCCTACAGCAACTTTTCTTCATTGCTGTTTTTTAACATGGAGCATTTTTTAAAGAACTGATTCTTACCAGGAATTTGTCATCAGAGAATCTGTATCTGTAAAACTTTTCCTCGAGGTAAACCTCTCTGGACCAAGATCTTAGTATAGAAACTTTCATATTTAAAGAAAAGAGGCTTCCTGTACCGACAGCAACTTTGGTCAAACTTGGGATTCCTGATGTCTTCTTGTCATTAAAATACATTTTTCACAAAGTTTTGGATCTTTACCAGTAAACTATTCAGATTTCTGTTACGTCTCTTGCAGGATTTTCTGAAGTCTGTGGATCCGAGTTGGAAAGCTGTTTTTATTTCATATTATTTCTGAGATTTCTACATCTGCCAGAGACTGCTCTGTATCATCAAATGGATGCTGGACATCCACTTGATGATACATCTCCTTTTAACCAGAAATATGCCTTTTGATCACCTGCACCGTCTCATTATAGTGTAAGGATTTTATTTTGAAATCCCTTTATAATTGGGTAAAATACGTCCTCACTTTGAATTAAACATCTACAACCAGGCCGGGATTGTTTGCAGGATGGGACTCAGCTGCTTTAAGTCATGGAAATATGACAGCACAGGTCACAAAGGTAAGACACGCATCTACAGCCTAACAGAATATTGCTTTCCTTTCCCAACTCCAGCTGCATATGTTTCATTCAACAGTGAAACATGTTAAATGCTGAGTCAGCAGGTTGGCCATTTTGCCCAGAGTGTGTCCTCTTATGTGCGTATACATTGACATTGAGGCGGACAAGCTAGGGATGATGGGAAATTAGGTGAAAGAGGACAGGGTGTGAATGGGCGAGAGGAAAGTGTTTGAAAAGTTGTAGGTGCTGAGGTTTATTTTCCCCGTTACAGATTGAATCTGTTTTTTTCTTTTCCAGTAACATTTACCTCTTTCACATCAAGACATACACTCACCGGCCACTTTATTAGGTACCCCATGCTAGTAACGGGTTGGACCCCCTTATGCCTTCAGAACTGCCTCAATTCTTGGTGGCATAGATTCAACAAGGTGCTGGAAGCATTCCTCAGGGAGTTTGGTCCATATTGACATGATGGCATCACACAGTTGCCGCAGATTTGTCGGCTGCACATCCATGATGCGAATCTCCCGTTCCGCCACATCCCAAAGATGCTCTATTGGATTGAGATCTGGTGACTGTGGAGGCCATTTGAGTACAGTGAACTCATTGTCATGTTCAAGAAACCAGTCTGAGATGATTCCAGCTTTATGACATGGCGCATTATCCTGCTGAAAGTAGCCATCAGAAGTTGGGTACATTGTGGTCATAAAGGGATGGACATGGTCAGCAACAATACTCAGGTAGGCTGTGGCGTTGCAACGATGCTCAATTGGTACCAAGGGGCCCAAAGAGTGCCAAGAAAATATTCCCCACACCATGACACCACCACCACCAGCCTGAACCGTTGATACAAGGCAGGATGGATCCATGCTTTCATGTTGTAGACGCCAAATTCTGACCCTACCATCCGAATGTCGCAGCAGAAATCGAGACTCATCAGACCAGGCAACGTTTTTTCCAATCTTCTATTGTCCAATTTCCATGAGCTTGTGCAAATTGTAGCCTCAGTTTCCTGTTCTTAGCTGAAAGGAGTGGCACCCGGTGTGGTCTTCTGCTGCTGTAGCCCATCTGCCTCAAAGTTCCACGTACTGTGCGTTCAGAGATGCTCTTCTGCCCACCTTGGTGGTAACGGGTGGTTATTTGAGTCACTGTTGCCCTTCTATCAGCTCCAACCAGTCTGGCCATTCTCCTCTGACCTCTGGCATCAACAAGGCATTTCCGCCCACAGAACTGCCGATCACTGGATGTTTTTTCTTTTTCGGACCATTCTCTGTAAACCCTAGAGATGGTTGTGCGTGAAAATCCCAGTAGATCAGCAGTTTCTGAAATACTCAGACCAGCCCTTCTGGCACCAACAATCATGCCACGTTCAAAGTCACTCAAATCACCTTTCTTCCCCATACTGATGCTTGCTTTGAACTGCAGGAGATTGTCTTGACCATGTCTACATGCCTAAATGCACTGAGTTGCCGCCATGTGATTGGCTGCTTAGAAATTAAGTGTTAACGAGCAGTTGGACAGGTGTACCTAATAAAGTGGCCGGTGAGTGTATTTTCAAAGGCAAACAAAAACAACCAGTAAATAAAACTGAAGAAATTCTGTATTTAATGGATGATTTTATTAGATGAATAGTAAAAGAATTCTGAATTAACTGGTTAAGATTCTCAGTTATCCAGATCATTACAAAAACATTAAAAACTGGACTTTGTTTCCAAGTTTGAAGACGTTTCTCTTCCATCCAGGAAGCTTTTTCAATTCAAAATGTCAGAAATATTGTTGAATTCCAGGTTTTATAGAGTGGACGAAAACAAGTGGACTAAAACTTGTTTTGGCTTAAAAAACATGCAAATTCACCCTGACCATTTTGTGTCATTCTAGTAGTTTTCTATCTATATTTTAGCAGTGTTGTATTTTTTGAGTTGACTCTCTGCTGCCCCTTTGTGCCAGTCACCTATCCCTTAGCTCCCTTCTAGTTGCTTCCATTCACACCTGCTCCCTATCACCTGATCAGCTCAGTCTTTGTTCGGTCTCCCATATATTCTGTACATTTTCTGTGCCTTTCCTAATTGCTGGATTATCTTATTGCTTTGTTCCTCGTGTGTGTTTCCTCCTGGCATCTCCCGGTTTGGTTTCATTTGTGTTTCTCTTTTCATCTAAATTAAATCTGCAAGAACTAATCTCATCCTCCTCATCTCTGCATTTGGGTCCTAAACCTGGCCCTCATTAAACAGCTGTCACCGACCTGTAAAACCTAGAAATTTCATATATTCTAAAGACAAGAAATCCACTAGAGATCTCAAAAAGAAATGTGCCCGGACTAAAATAAAAAAAAAACAAAAAAAAAAAAAAAAAAAAAAAACAAGGTCTTTAACATCAATGTTACTTTGGAGGGTTACAAAGCTCAAAAATGAAAATCATTATCCACAAATTAAGAATAAAACGTTCAGTGGAAAGGAGCTAGAAATAGTTTAATCAAGAAGTAGTCTAGATAGTCTTCCAATATCCAAAATTCAGCCAAAGTTTTCTACATCTGGCTAAAAACAGTTTTTTGTTTAATATCAAACTGATGTGAGGTTCAGCTCATGTAGCTTCATATATAAACACAATCTGCCTTTATTCTGCTGATAAGCTTAATTAACTCTGACCAAAGTCAGAAGGATAAAACTAAGCATGATTTGATTCAAATGCAGTCTGATAAGAGCGAGGTCAACTTAATTTTTAACAATAACCGTATTTAATCATCATGTTGTCCAGTAAAAATCTAAGGTTAGCTTGCTAGCTAAACACAACTGCACCAAAATTATTCAGTCATCTGCAAACTTCGCTTTAAACTAGCGTTGCTCTGATGCCATTTTTTGGCCCATATATCGATACCCGGTACCTGGCAGTGAAGTATCGGCCAATACCATCTGTTTGAAATGAATGTGTGTGTATCTATGAAGAACTGCAGACTAGTTGGATGTAGAATAATCGCCATCATTGCTTCATGTCAAGCTGCTGCCTACCTTTGTGAAGCAGGAAAAAGACTAAAACAAAGTGAATCCAGTCAAACGTTTTATTGCCTACCTGGAATGGGTGACAATAGTTGAAGAAACTTTTGGCTCTCAAAATGGTATCAGTGCTCTATTGGTTGGTACTCGCCGATACCGATGCCACCATTTCAGGGCTGGATCGGGGCCCCGCCTGATACTGATATCGGTATCGGTGCAACACTAGTTTAAAACAATGCCCTTATTTTCCAACATGTTCCTTCTTACTGTAGATTAACTAGTCGTATGTATAAGGAGCTAACATTAGAGGGATGGCAGGTAGGTCTCCCAACCAAGCAATGCGACATTTAAAGGTGAATTTTAAAGGTGATTTTTAAAGATAAATAATCTAAAAATCAGTAGAAACATGCAAAAAGCTGGTAAGGAATCGTAAGAAACTGTATATCTGTAATGTCCTGGTGAAGATTCTCAGTAATCCAGGTCAGAGTCATTCTAAAAAAAAAAAAAACAATCCACTGGACTTTGTTTCCAAGTTTGAAGACGTTTCTCTTCCCATCCAGGAAGCTTTTTCAATTCAAAATGTCAGAAATAGCGCTGAGTTTCCGGGCTTATAGAGTGGACCAAACAAAGGCCTCAATGACTCTCCATTTCTAAGGGGTGGACAGATTTGCATGGTTTCTAGCCATATTAAGGATTTGCTTGGCCAACCTGGGACTCAAACCCTACTTCAGGCATTTAAAATGAAAAAAGCTTCCTGCATGGGAAGCGAAACGTCTTCAAATTTGAAAACAAAGTCCAATGAATTGTTGTTGCTTTTTTTTTTACTTGTTTTTTTTTTTTTTTTTTTTTTACTTTTGTGGAATATCTGTTTTGTCAGTAGGACAAATGTCTCATTAATTATTCAGAAAGATGGAAATAATTTGGCATATTTGCACTGTAAATTAAAGAAAAAAAAATATATTTTTAATAATAATACTTGAACAATCTGAACCTTTATTCTTAAATTTAGCAAGCTTTTTTTTATTGTCTTTTGACTTTATAAATAATAATAGAAATTCTCTTATTCTAAAGACTGAGGCTAAACGCCACATGGCTACATCATTAGTTAAACTTTTACATTTTCTTTAGTCCAACTTTTTTGTAACATTCTTTTATGTTTCTGCATTTTCTATTTTATCTATTTATTTCCTTACTTGCTTTGATTCCTTTTTTATTTTCCTATTTTTTAATCATGTAAAGCACTTTGCATTATCTTTGTACTGAATTGTGCTATACAAATAAATCTGCCTTGCCTTGCCTTGCCTTACATTACAAATTAGACATTTGTTTATTCCTTTATGTAGAAGGCTATATTTATTTGCTTCCAAAGCTCCTGTTCATAGTTGGTTGACGATTAAAGAATAAAATAGAGCCAAACATCAAAATTGGCAAAAACAAACCAACATGCATCTTCATTTAGAGTTATTGCACAGTGGTTCCCCCTTTCATTATAAAATAGCTATTTAGTCATATTAGAATAGTGTTATATTTCCAAATCCATTTATATCAAATAACATGCAATAAATATTTTCTTGTGACATCTTAAAACTTTACTGCATCAGACTTTAATGACACTTATTATGAAATGTGATATTTGACTGTTTTTTACTGTGGAAGCAACAATAAAATTAGGATGTTTTATACCAGGAAGGAGGCTTTTTCAACATCTTTAGATCTTTCTGACCCTAAATTCATAGATTTTTTTTATTTGTAGGCAACAGAGATGTGCTGGCCAGCCCAGGCTCCTATTTCTTCCTATCTAACAGTGCAGGTCAAGGTGATGAGTGGCTGAAGAGCCTAAACAAGGGAGTCTGGATCCCTTTTACAGGTGAGAACTCAACACACCAAATGGTTCATGTGTTTATAAGTTTAATATAGTGCTGCTTGACTATCTTGCCATAAACTTAACAGAAACGGTTTAAACTCCTGAACATTTTGCTAAGTCAATGAGTTCATAGTTTCTTAATCTGCAGAGGTAGTAAATAATAACCTCTAGATGTAGAGAACTCAAGTAGATTCCCAGATTTTAAAGAAGGCGGACTTTAGGACTTATTTTAACGGTGGGTTTTCTCCCTTTGTTTCAGGAGTCTTTGGGCAACGTCTGGAGGAGACAGTGCTGTACGAGCGTCGGTATGGGATGCGCTTGGTTCCTCTGGTGGTGGAGCAGTGTGTCACCTTTATCCGTGAACGGGGTCTGCACGAGGTGGGCTTGTTTCGCCAGCCTGGACGCACCAGTCTGGTGAAAGAGCTGCAGGAGGCTTTTGATTCTGGTGAAAGGCCATCCTTCGACAGGTACAGCCTCTTCTGTGTTTCCACTACAGCTGTCACCTTACATCCAGTTAAAGAGTCTGGTCTGTTGTTTTAATTGCTTGCAGCAACACAGACGTCCACACAGTAGCATCAGTGCTGAAGCTCTACCTCAGGCAGCTACCAGAACCTCTGGTTCCTTACAGCCATTACCAGGACTTCCTGCTCTGCGGTCAGAAGCTGTTAAGTGACCGTACAGTGGTAATCACTGCTCCGTTCACCACAACACAAAGACTGATATAAAACACCTCCAGGAGGAAAAACACACCACTAGCAGTTGCAAACAATGCAGCTTTGATTTGCACATATTTAAAATGTTTCCTTCTACATGTTTTATATCTTATATCCAATTTTGTTGCTTGCCTCAGGGTCTGGAGGAGCTGAGGAATCATCTTCACGAGTTACCTGTAGCAAACTTCAACCTTCTCGACTTTATCTGCCAGTATGACCCGTCTGAATTCATTCTTTTTTTAGATTTTTGGTGATTAAATCCAGCAAGACTTTTAAAGTTGGGGCTAAATTCTATGTTTATGCAGCTTATGAGTAATAAATGTTTGTGTTCAGGTTTTTAAATGAGGTTCAGAGCTGCTCCAGCAGTAACAAGATGAACGTTCAGAATTTGGCAACTGTGTTCGGGCCAAATATCCTTCGAGTCAAAGCTGAAGACCCGCAAAGCATCATGGGAGGTAAACTGCTTCAGTTTACTTTCTTGTTTTGTAATTATGATTTATCAAAAATATACTGCATGATACCATTATATTCCTTATTCAGAAGGTTTAATGCTCTAGAAACTTTGTTTTAATGCTGAATTGAAAGCATTATTTTGTTTGGCAAACATTTGAAAATAAGAATCTTAGGAAAAGAAATGAATCAGTTAATTTTAAGAGCTGTTTATCACACAGCAAACGCTTCATCTCATAGACAATCTGTTGGGTCATCTTGTAATAGCAATTAGCCCAAACCCTCTCCTTGTCAGGTTTGGTGGAGGTTTTTAGAGGACCAAATGCAGAAGATGATTTGGGTTCTTGCAGATTTCATGAGTGGTGGCAACAGAAGCATAAATCCAGAAATAACTCATTAAGGAAAACAGGAACCTGAGCAAAGGGAAACACTTAGGTTAGAGAAGGAATGAAGAGAACCCAGCACAGAGTAACTGCAGAGGAGTATAAATGCCAAACAGAACAAAGAGTGGAGTAATCAACCGATTGGGAGCAGGTGTGGACAGAAAGAACTAGAAGGGAGCTAGGAGAAGGAGACTGACACAAGGGGGCAGCAGAGTGTAAACAAGAAATACACAAGAACTCGAATACAACCAGAAAACAACTAGAATGACACAAAATGGAAATGAAACCAATGACCTAGAAAACACAGAAAGACATGAATTAGACTGTAACTGAAAACTCAAAAAGGAAACTAAAAAAGAACCAAAAAGTGCTGAATCATGACATTCATCTTTATCAGCTTTAGCCCAACAAAGACGAGTTAAAATGCAAGTTGTATATGGACTCCTCTAGCCATAACGCGGCTTGCCATGTCTTAATAAACATCTGACATTGAACAGGTGATATATAGGTTCCTATGTGAAGGTTAGATACGTTTTCCAAGGTTTCATGACGATGCGACGATTGTCTGTGGAACCAAACAGTGGTTTTTTTTTTGGCTGTGACTTTTATTCACCGACTGTTTCTATATATATTGAAATATTTTAACAGAAATGATCCTGTTTACCCACCAAAACTATACTGATGTGAGTACAACGGAGTGTTAGGGCCAGGCTAGAGATTTTTTTTTTATTCCAGAATATTGTCATAACATTATGAGAGTAAAGTCATAAAATTACGAAAACAAAGTCGTAACATGAAGAGAATGAAGTCATCACACAACAACCTGTTTCATAAAGAAAGCTTGGAGCTCCGCCCAGCAGATGACGGCCGACCAGCTCCACCAATCAATCCAATTCAATTCTATTCAGTTTATTTCTATAGCTCCAATTCACATCATGTCATCTCAGGTCACTTTCCAGTTCACCAGATCATCCAGTCAGATTGATTCAAAGTTTTCTATCTAAGGAAAACCAGCTGATTGCATCGACTCATTGACTCTTCAGCAATCCCTCACACTAAGCATGCTTGTAGCGACAGTGGAGAGGAAAAACTCCAGCAGAACCAGGCTCAGTGTGAGCGGCCATCTGCTGAGGCCCACTGGGGTTCAAGGAGACAGAAGCAGACATAGAAAAAGAAGCATAGATACTAAAGGCAACTGTCAACCAGCTCCACAGGCGGCCCCGTCCAGGAAACACACAGCCAGGCAGACGAGCTCCGAGCCAGCTCCCATGTCAGAGGATGAAGAGAGCACATCCAGTTAGTCACAGTCAGAGAAACAGGACTACACTGGAAAACAGGCCAAGCTCCAACATCTAGAAACAAAGGTGTTGATGGCAGCAGCACAGCTGATATTTCTCTCCAGGATGGAGTCACAGCCAAACAGGAACAGACCAGATGAAGCTACTATGAGAAAAAGCAGAGAGAGCAGAACGTTAGAGATTGAACTAACAGATTCTGCAGAGTGGGAGAATAGAGATAGAATGAAGCAGAGAGACCAGAACATGGACTCAGCAACCAGAGTCCACTTTGACCTCCTGCCCAGTTTGATGCTGCTGCTAAAACATTTACAGATGTGTCAAACTGATGCCAAAGTAGAACTTCACATGATGCTCCACATTCCTCATTTTAGGGAAGAAAGGGTTTCTTGGAAGAGTTGTCATAAAATACAACTTCATTCTGTTAATTTATGACTTTATTCTCGAATTGAAAAAAAATCTCTAGCCTGGCCCTAATACTCTGTCGTATGTAAGAGTAGCAGTACATTTTTTTTTACTCATTTAAAGGTAGAAATCACAAGAAATTAATACAAATTTCTGTACTGAATAAATGTTGGATCTGATTAAATGTTAGAAAATGATAGAGTAAGGTAGAATATTTGCAAGTTCTGGTATTTTAAAGACTAATATACAAAAAATATGACAAAATTATTTTTAAATAGCAAATCCATGCAGAAAAGCAGCAACACTTTTTCAGATCTTTTTTGTCCAACGTTAAACTTATGAAAGCAATCCTCACAGTGAGAGTTATATATAAATTGGGTCAGGATAGAGAATTTCCATGGCAGTACTTCTTACACTGTATTTATTCAACTGTGTTTGTCTCCAAGGTGCAAAACTGGTCAAGGTGATCATGTTAGAGCTGATCAAAGAACATGAATCACTGTTTGCCAAGTTTCTTCCTTCTGTCGCCGCTCAACCTTTTGGAAGTTCACATGCATCCCCTTTGAGGCAGCCTCATCTCCAGCCAATGCCCTGCCTTCGTCAGCTGTCTTTGCCTCTTATTGCAGACCACTCTAGTGAGTCAGGACATGCAGCCGAGCACGCAGACCACCCCAGGTAAACTAGAGGTTCTAGAAATGCATGGTCAGTTGTGCTAGAGGGATGAAAAGTGGCTAAATATAGCGACTAAAGCGCTAAGTTGGCAACACTGCTCTTTGCATGGTTTGTTTTCAAATGGTTTGCTGCTGTCTGTCTGGACCTTTCTGAACATGTGCAGCAAATGGACTGATCCAATATGGTGGACACTGAAGGGGGGGGGGGGGGGGGGGAGGAGCAGTGAGAAACAAGAGCCCTGATTGGATAACACACCAAAATATGCCACTTCCAGTGAGGCCACATCTCTTAGGGAAACTATGGAGCAGTGGAGGGTCATGATGTTTGTAATTAACTCTTGCAGTGGCTTCTGGGTTTACAGTAGCAGCCATTCAAAATGGCCTTTCCCATTCAAACACCAGACCAATGGCAGCCCACTTCCCTCCAACTCCCTGTGAAATCCCCTCCAACTTCAGCCACGGCAGCGGCTGAAGTTGCATGTTTTTTTTACTCTGACTCCACCCTTTCACTGAATTAACGAGTCTGACCAGGAGATGGCGCTTCTCTTTAGATCTTAATGTCCACAAATCATGACAGAAAGAATGTTATAGTATAAAGAAGTTTAAAAAGGAATTGTAGGGGACCAGCCAATGACCAGCAAAGGACAAGCCAAGGACCAGCCAATGACCAGCAAAGGACAAGCCAAGGACCAGCCAATGACCAGCAAAGGACAAGCCAGGGACTAACCAATGACCAGCAAAGGACTAGCCAAGGACCAGCCAAGGACCAGCAAAGGACTAGCCAATGACCAGGAAAGGACTAGCCAAGGACCAGCCGAGGACCAGCAAAGGACTAGCCAATGACCAGCAAAGGACTAGCCAAGGACCAGCCGAGGACCAGCAAAGGACTAGCAAGGACCAGCAAAGGACTAGCCAAGGACCAGCTGAAGACCAGCAAAGAACTAGCCAAGGACCAGCAAAGGACTAGCCAAGGACCAGCAAAGGACTAGCCAAGGACCAGAGAAGGACTAGCCAAGGACCAGCAAAGGACTAGCCTAGGACCAGCAAAGGACTAGCCAAGGACCAGCAAAGGACAAGCCAGGGACCAGCAAAGGACTAGCCAAGGACCAGCAAAGGACTAGCCAAGGTCCAGCCGAGGACCAGCAAAGGACTAGCCAATGACCAGCAAAGGACTAGCCTAGGACCAGCAAAGGACTAGCCAAGGACCAGCAAAGGACTAGCCAAGGACCAGCCGAGGACCAGCAAAGGACTAGCCAATGACCAGCAAAGGACTAGCCAAGGACCAGCCTAGGACCAGCAAAGGACTAGCCAATGACCAGGAAAGGACTAGCCAAGGACCAGCCGAGGACCAGCAAAGGACTAGCCAATGACCAGCAAAGGACTAGCCAAGGACCAGCCGAGGACCAGCAAAGGACTAGCAAGGACCAGCAAAGGTCTAGCCAAGGACCAGCTGAAGACCAGCAAAGAACTAGCCAAGGACCAGCAAAGGACTAGCCAAGGACCAGCTGAAGACCAGCAAAGAACTAGCCAAGGACCAGCAAAGGACTAGCCAAGGACCAGCAAAGGACTAGCCAAGGACCAGAGAAGGACTAGCCAAGGACCAGCAAAGGACTAGCCTAGGACCAGCAAAGGACTAGCCAAGGACCAGCAAAGGACAAGCCAGGGACTAGCCAATGACCAGCAAAGGACTAGCCAAGGACCAGCCGAGGACCAGCAAAGGACTAGCAAGGACCAGCTGAAGACCAGCAAAGAACTAGCCTAGGACCCGCAAAGGACTAGCCAAGGACCAGCAAAGGACAAGCCAAGGACCAGCCAATGATCAGCAAAGGACAAGCCAGGGACTAGCCAAGGACCAGCAAAGGACAAGCCAGGGACTAACCAATGACCAGCAAAGGACTAGCCAAGGACCAGCCGAGGACCAGCAAAGGACTAGCCAATGACCACCAAAGGACTAGCCAAGGACCAGCCGAGGACCAGCAAAGGACTAGCAAGGACCAGCAAAGGACTAGCCAAGGACCAGCTGAAGACCAGCAAAGAACTAGCCAAGGACCAGGAAAGGACTAGCCAAGGACCAGCTGAAGACCAGCAAAGAACTAGCCAAGGACCAGCAAAGGACTAGCCAAGGACCAGCAAAGGACTAGCCAAGGACCAGCAAAGGACTAGCCAAGGACCAGCAAAGGACTAGCCTAGGACCAGCAAAGGACTAGCCAAGGACCAGCAAAGAACTAGCCAAGGACCAGCAAAGGACTAGCCAAGGACCAGCAAAGGACTAGCCAAGGACCAGCAAAGGACTAGCCAAGGACCAGCAAAGGACTAGCCTAGGACCAGCAAAGGACTAGCCAAGGACCAGCAAAGGACTAGCCAAGGACCAGCAAAGGACAAGCAAGGGACTAGCCAATGACCAGCAAAGGACTAGCCAAGGACCAGCCGAGGACCAGCAAAGGACTAGCAAGGACCAGCTGAAGACCAACAAAGAACTAGCCTAGGACCCGCAAAGGACTAGCCAAGGACCAGCCAAGGACAAGCCAGGGACCAGCAAAGGACCAGCAAAGGACAAGCCAAGGACCAGCCGAGGACTAGCCAAGGACCAGCAAAGGACAAGCCAGGGACCAGCCAAGGACCAGCAAAGGACAAGCCAGGGACCAGCAATGGACAAGCCAGGGACCAGCCAAGGACCAGCAAAGGACAAGCCAGGGACCAGCAAAGGACAAGCCAGGGACCAGCCAGGGACCAGCAAAGGACAAGCCAGGGACCAGCCAAGGACCAGCAAAGGACAAGCCAGGGACCAGCAAAGGACAAGCAAAGGACAAGCCAGGGACCAGCAAACGACAAGCCAGGGACCAGCCAGGGACCAGCAAAGGACAAGCCAGGGACCAGCAAAGGACAAGCCAGGGACCAGCCAGGGACCAGCAAAGGACAAGCCAGGGACCAGCCAAGGACCAGCAAAGGACAAGCCAGGGACCAGCAAAGGACAAGCCAGGGACCAGCAAAGGACAAGCAAAGGACAAGCCAGGGACCAGCAAAGGACAAGCCAGGGACCAGCCAGGGACCAGCAAAGGACAAGCCAGGGACCAGCCAGGGACCAGCAAAGGACAAGCCAGGGACCAGCCAAGGACCAGCCAAGGACCAGCAAAGGACAAGCCAGGGACCAGCAAAGGACAAGCCAGGGACCAGCAAAGGACAAGCAAAGGACAAGCCAGGGACCAGCAAAGGACAAGCCAGGGACCAGCCAGGGACCAGCAAAGGACAAGCCAGGGACCAGCCAGGGACCAGCAAAGGACAAGCCAGGGACCAGCCAAGGACCAGCCAAGGACCAGCAAAGGACAAGCCAGGGACCAGCAAAGGACAAGCCAGGGACCAGCAAAGGACAAGCCAGGGACCAGCCAAGGACCAGCAAAGGACCAGCCACAGGACAAGCCAAGGTCAAGCCAAGAACCAGCCGAGGACCAACCAGGGGTCCATCAATGAAAGTGGGGAAATTTTGAATGACTACTACTGTTTTATCTCAGAGTTTTTCAACAGCTGTTTTCACCAGATGCATTAATGTGTTTTACGTGTTTCAACATTTGTTAATGCAATACGTGACCTTTGGATTTAAATAACACCACTGACCCTCCCCTGTTTCAGAAAGCAGCAGCCGCCACTGATAAGCGTGCAGTTTTGCTCCCACTTTAGAACAGGTTTTTCAACAAATGGGCCACATGCCACTGGTACCAGGTATTGCTGAAGAGTGAAATCAGGATCTCTATTAGCTTTGTTACCAGACTGAAAAATGAATGGCTCAGAAGTTTCTTGGCTGCTTTAAATTTGGTGCACTGCAATAGCAGAAATACTTTATGTGGCTCTATAAACAGATTTTCATATTTATTTATTTTCAGCTGTATCTTCTCTGCTGGCGGTGAATCAGACTTGCTCTCTGGGCAGAAAAGACACCTCGGTCATCGCTACACCTCCTCCCAGCCAGAGAACTGCTTCTTCCCCTTGCCTTCCTCCACTGAGTCCATCAAACCCCATGCTGTTGGCCACAGAGGAGATTATAACAAGTACCATAATGGCCAAGGGTCATCTTCTGCAAATGCTCAAGCAGCAACAACAAACTCTGAGTTACAAGGTGGAAGCTCGAGGCAGGGGATGGTCCTGGGATGGGATGAAGGATGGCCACACCCAGAGAATACATCCTCTGCTTACTGGAGCGTTAAAAGGGCAGAGGAAGAGGGTGATGTTCAGGAAGTGGCCAGTAGGAGCAGCAGTCAGGCACAAGAGGATAGTACGCCTTCTGCCTACGACAACCTGGACAGAACCTCTCTGTCTCACGCCATGCAGAATGTTCCCATGGAGAAGTCTGGTTCGCCTGCTCCAGGAACAAATGCTGAAATGTGTGAAGCAGGGGTAGATCAAGGACTGGGTAAGGAAGGAGAATCCTCTTCCTCATGGTCTTCCTGTGAAGTTCTTCCATTAGATGAGAACAACGATGATCTGGGGGCAGATAGTCCTTATATTCCACCAAAGAGATCCAAAATGTTGCCTTTGGGTCAGAAAAGAAAAAGGGAAAGCCATGATAAAGATGATCATGAAGATCATGTTGACACTCACCATCCCAGCTCCTGGGCTTCCTGTTCTGTCATCAGCTTCAGCCCGCTCAGCACGGGGAGCTCTGAGGTTTTCCTCCCTTCAGGACCTCCACCTCTTCAGCTTCAAGAGTCTCACTTAGAGATGAGGGAGAATCATCCACTGGTGGCCAAACTAAGGCAGCAAATGGCTCAGCAAAAGGCAGAGTACCAGAGCAGGATTGAGAGGTAAGGACTTTTTGCTGTATATGAACGTTTAACATCCATTTTGTCCCCCTTTCCTATTACCTCTAGACTTCCTCAGAACTTGCCAAGGTCTAGAGGTACCCCACTTCTTCTAATAACATGGTAGGAAAAACAGTCCCATTGTCTGTCCTGATGATGCAGAACTTTCAGGAGGCGAGGTACACTACAAAAGAAGGGTTGCAACCTGTGTTTGAAAAAGCAACTTTACAAGTAGTTACAAAACTCAAGGAAGGACATACATTCGAAATCTAGTTTATTTATCAAAACAATTAGTTTCATCCAGAAAAATGTCTTTTTGGTTGGACTCAGTGCTGCCCCAACTTGTTTTTTGTTTTTTTATTCTTTATTTCGAACTTGCAAGAGTAAAAACAAAAAAAAAACAATAAAACAATGTTTAAAAACATTGGAGAGAAAAACAACAAACAAGGTGCCCTTCTTTCCTAAATTAATATACCTCCATTACATGTGCGAAAAGGAGTAGGAAGAAGTAAACTTATGTACTCCTACCCCTTTAATTCTTGTATTTCTTTAATTTACAATATTTATAATTATGTTGCTATATATATCCATATAAATACATACCTGCCTACACATATACATACATAAATATGTATACACAAACCAAAATAAAAAGTTTTTCAAGATGATGCAAAGTTAAATGTGACTCTTTTACCATCAGTTATAAAACTAATAAAATTAAGTCTAAGGAAGTTATCATCCAGAATTGTAGAATTGTAATTTTAATAGGGTAGAGCAGTACAACTTCTGGCCTTAACTTTTTCTCCTGCATTACATTTATTTTTATACTTGATGTAGTTTTAAAAATAGTACTTTACATTTTTAACTGAGTAAAAAGCTGAAGTTGATTCTGTAAGATCTATAAAAGCCTTTTTAAACAGCAGGATTTATATTTTCTCTTGAGTAATAAACATCAAAGCGTCTCTGTCATTAACATTTTGAAAAGGCTGATAAGGGTGGTTAAGCTTCACTGCTACGACGGAGTATTAGGGCCACACATGAAGAGAAAAAATATCTTTGCCATGACGAGTTTAAAGTCGACACGTCGACATTAAACTCAACATTTCGAGAATAAAGTTGAAATGTCATGTTGAGTTTAATCTCGACGTGTCGACAATAAAGTTGAAATTAGTTCAAGAGAGCCAACCGCTGCACAGGATACATGCACAGAATCCAGAATCAGACAAGCCTTGTGTAGATGATTTGGTCAAATTGTACTTTCTGTGATGATTATACAGTTATACAGTTGCAGCACGTCAAAGACTACCTTCACTCTTAAAACGCAGACTGCAGCTGTGGAGCGCGGTTGCTCTTTTCTCCAAACTCCAAAAAATATTTTTTCTCTTCATGTGTGGCCCTAATACTCCGTCGTACACTGCGCATCTTTGGGTTCCAAAATCCTGACATTATTTATGAAAGCTCATATTGCTCAGTAAAAAGAAAGGCCAGGTGGAGTCTGAAGAGGAGCATTTCTTTAAACAGGCCATATATCGAGAGTGTTTTGGTAGGGATGCTAACAAAACTCAGATATGTACAGCACTTGCAAAAGTATTCATACATTTTCAAAAGTCCTATTTTGTAACATTACAACCTAAAAAAACAACCAAAAAGAGTTATGGCTATCATGTAAAGATCAAAAACCTGCAGAAGGTGTTGTCCATTTATTAAATGAAATATATATATATTAATATATATTAACAGTTGTAAACAATGCAGCATGTTAATATATATTAACACGTTTGTGGAACAAAGATCCTGCGACTACAGCTGCAAGTCTTTTAGTGATGTGGAACCAGCATTGTTTGCAAATAAATGTAACTTTAGTCAAATAGAACAGAGTTTCTCTAGATACAGATTTTCAATTCCCAGATCGCAGTTTGATTTGGATCTAGACCTTGACTTTTTGTTTGTGTTTACGTATCTGTCGGAGCATCTATAATCGAGTTCTAGATGCTGGATGTGGCTGAATGTGCTCTCTTCATCCTCTGACATGGGAGCTGGCTCGGAGCTCGTCTGCCTGGCTGTGTGTTTCCTGGACAGGGCCGCCTGTGGAGCTGGTTGACAGTTGCCTTTTGTATCTATGCTTCTTTTTCTATGTCTGCTTCTGTCTCCTTGAACCCCAGTGGGCATCAGCAGATGGCCGCTCACACTGAGCCTGGTTCTGCTGGAGGTTTCTTCCTGTTCAAAGGGAGTTTTTCCTCTCCACTGTCGCTACAAGCATGCTTAGTGCTTAGAAATAAACTGAATAGAATTGAACAACTGGACAATTTGGGGTGCAACAATCCATGTAGAACACAGTTTTGCAATTATTATGAGCTTTTTTTATGATAATAATAATATACAACAATAATGTGTTTTATTTATCAGCACTTTTGATAAAAACCAATATATTTTAAAAAGGTTATTGAGAGCTTTATAACTCAGAGGATCTTGAAGTGGATCTGCTGCTTTATGGAGCCATTTAAGGTGCAGTTCAACAAACTTCAGTTTGTACCTGACTGTAACACAGTGCCTCACCCCCTCAGCACCAGGGTCAAAACTGTTTCCAAATTTGTTCTGATCAGTATAACATCAAACTATTGTACCAAGCATGTCATGCGATTGAATGTATTCATGTTTTTTGCTAGGTTCACCTATCCTAGGGTCAATGGGCAGGAGGAGAGTAAATCCTTATCATATCATCAGTCCAATGACAGTGTCCTGTCTGGCAATGTGGCAATAAGAATAATTGTCTTGATGCCAAAAAGAGTCCAACATAGTGTTCCATTTGATTTATGCATATAAATAGCTTTATTATATCATGTAGAGAGTTTTACAGGTTCTATGGACACTGCAATATAAATAGAACAGAAGAGGAAAAACAGAAAAAAAAGGAGAAAAGATGAAAGAAAGAGGAGATAAAAGGGAGATAATGATAAAACATATTCAGTCTGCTTCATCACCTGCAGAGATGGAAAAAGAACAGAACAACCAACGGACATGGAACAAGATATACAATAAATTAACACCTAGATACTATCACTGTAGTATAAGTAGAATTATTTAATCTGACATGTATACTGCGGTAGCTGAAGATCAGAATATGGGCTTTCTGTATGGAAGTGAATCTCTAAGTTCCTGGAACCAAACACCTGTAGTTGTTTGTGAGGGTGCACTGCTGCATGTAAAGTGTATCCAAAGGAAAAATGCTCAATAGTGGCTGTGAGGAGCTGAAAAGGCTGAATATTTGTTTACAGCTGTTCTATGAAATGTGTTAATAGATGTAAATCGCTACCTGGAAATAAAGCTTTTTATTTCTCTGTGAATTTGTTCATTGGAACTAATTAATATTTGTTGAATTTCCATCCAGCGGTAGAAATCAGCTGCACCTTTAATTCTGCCAGTTAAACTGAATCCACATAGGAGGACTCTTATTTACTTATAAGAGCTACTGGATAAAACAGGTTGGAATATTAGGAGTATTGCAGTAAGGGGCTAAATGCCTATGATTAGACCTCTTCAAAAAATAAAACTTTTTGATTTTCATAGCAGACTGGAAGATTTCCCATTCTTTGGAACCCGACAAGCTCAAATATCCCAATCATTTTGTTCTCAGGCGATGCTTCTGCTGCCCCAAAGACCCCCAAGTAACAACGTCTGGATAACGAAACATATTTTTAGACTTAGAAAGTTGGCAATAATACCTTTAAAAGCTAATAAAATTAGGAAGTTAGGAAAAATAGGAAACTGTCTCAGTTTTTTTCTGGTGTTACTGCATCAAAATTTATAATAACTAGAAAAAGCTGTTTCGGAGAAACATCAAAGTGGGAATGCTTTTGCTGAATGAAAAAAGCTGAAATTAACTGCAGAACATATAAAAATGTGATAGGAAGTCATTAGAAACTTCAAACTGCAGAAAACAATTGAATCATCTGAAGATTTTATAGGGTAGAAACATCTGGCAGTAAAATGGCAGAAACAAACTCATCTTAAAAGCCGCACAGTCAAACCATACATGATATCAAAAAATGTTGATCAGCATAAAGAAAACAGTGTCATCATTTGAGGATTGAAAATTTACAAACCTATGTGCAAGACTAACCATAAGAAGCAGAGGAAGGACAGAGAGAGAAGCTTATAGAAAGAGAGCTAATACCACTTAAGGAGCTGAATTTATCCAAAAAACTAACCTGCATGTTACGAGCTGCTGTGTTGATAAAAGCACCGTTGGCAGGCTTAGGCTGCATGTTATGAGGCTAGCGGATGCTTTATTACAGTGTAAATCTAAGAACCTGGTTAAGAAATATGCACTGAGGTGTGTGGTCAACAGGCCTTGGTAGTGTAATTTGAAGAAATTGGTTGAGTTTGGGTCATAACTACTAGCCATACAGCACAATGAATGAGTGTGTGTAAGGAAGAGGCTTTTATTTTGTAGAGTCCCTTTAGTCTTACAGTATTTCGAAAGTCTATCATGGATGTGTGTCAAGGGAAGGGTCATGCCCAGCAGTGATATAGAATCCATTTCTAAATATGCAATCACTTGTTTTCCATGTTATTGGGTGAATAGATGCTGTGTTAGAGCGTAAATGGGAGACTTTTATTGTGAAATTCGCTCTGGGGTATGTTTTGAAAAGGTCCCTAGAGTCTAATAGAAACAAACTGGTAGAGTTTGGGTCATAATGCTGAGCCATTTGCATCAATTAATACACAAGTATAATATAGAGGCTTTTATTTTGTAGGGTCACTGGAGTCTTATTTTGAAAGTCTAGCAGTAGTGTGTTGAGAAAAGGGTTAGACCCAGCAGTGATACTTGATGACTTTCCAATCATTAAATCACTCTTTCCCCTGTTATTAGGGCAGTAGATGAAGTGGAAATGGGAGGCTTTTATTTTGAAATTTGCTGTGGGGTGTGTTTTTAAAAACCCCTAGAGTCTCATTTTTAAAAAAGTGGTTGAGTTTGGGTCATAATGTTGAGCCATATGCTGGGGA